GGATGTCCCATCTGATGCCACAGATGTCTGATCGTTGGAGGATGATGATGATTGCTTAGCAGGTCCATTTTGAACAGGTCGTGGAACTGTTGGGAGGGTCCATTCCAAAACCGTAAAAGGAAGAGCTAATGATCTAAGCTACACGAGATATAGAGTGTAATAAATACCACAATGCATACATATATACAACTGGGAAGAGTTGTGAGATGCATATAAAAAAGTGCGTATATTTCCTGGTGGTTTGAAAATTGTGAAGTTTCTGTTTAGTGTAGTTGAAATAAATTGCTGGGAAATCTTTCCAATTGGAATATGATAAAACCAAAGAAAATAACAAATTTACCATAATAGGAGTCTTTGTCATTGCCCAAACCTCTACTGGTGCATCACGAAGCAAAATAAGAAGGTACCTGGAAAGCATAAGCAAAAAAGTTACATTCTGTAGCTAGGGTAGTTAAAAAGAATAAAAACCAACGTGGATGCAAGAAGTGCGAAGAAAAGGAGCAATAGTGTAGATATCCAATAGCCATATTGAGCCAAATAGGCCAATTCAGCCATATTGAGTCAACAAGGCCAATTCAGACAAACCAAAACAGATATTGTTGATTTCTACTAAACATCTTTGCAGGAAATACTTGCCAAAACAAAATTTTCCTTCACATAATTCCACAACTTGGTACTTCTTATGTGTCCTGAGGCTCTTGATTACACCTTTTGATGTCACATATGAAGACCACAAAATGCCCTTTTTTATAACTAAATGAAATTTGAAACTGTTTCTTTTTTCTTCGTAAAAGAGTTGTAAATTTTGCCTCAAAACTTTGAAACACCCTCAATTTTTAATCTATGATCCAGTAGAGGAGTCAATTGAAGACATTAAGTCAACTAGGGGATAAGAAAGTACCAAGTTTCACTCTAAACCATTCAATATAAACAAAGATACCTTTTCAGCTGAAGTATCAATCATAAATTCGAGTAAACCCAAAAACATGACACAGGATATAGAAGATCTAACTAATAACCATAAATAAAGACAAGAACCAAGGTATGAAGTCAACCTTCCAGAGGAAGAGGCCCTCAAAGCTCTTATTGGTGCACGTTCAGGCTTTTGCAAAACCCGAAATGGTCTATTAAGGCCACTTCTAACACAGGTTACAATGAGCCTGTTGATGAAACCTCCAGATTTTTCACTCACCTATATCAACAAAAGTAATGCTAGATATAACAATCAACATGGATTGATGATACTTTTTTTTTTTTAAAGGGAAAAAATGTACTAATCGAAGATAATGCTGAGCATTAAATCACAACAACTAGTAGCAATCAAACAATTGACAACGTTTGAATTCATTGTAACATACCTGACTATATGAAAATGAAACTAGTCTAGAATTTCCAAGCCATCGTAATCCCCTAACAGTACCATTATGAACAGAAAAGCTTGCAGCAACAGCATTGGCAGAAACATCAACCACATCAATTGTCCCACTTTGAGTTCCCAAAGCAACTAATGGAACGGCTACAACAGGATAGTTTCCCCCGCCTTCATACATAATCAACTTACATGGTATTATAATTTCTCCCAAAATGATGCTAACTCAAAATATGATACAACAAATATATATATATATATATATATATATAATCAACATATACAGTAGATTAATGACAGGATGAACTAACGGCCCAAAGTAGCTGTTGAAGAAGGCGAAGGTACAGCTAGCATAGTCACTGCTGAAGAAAGAAGCTGAAGCTGTCCAACTAAGCTAATCTGCATCAGTAAGTTGGCTCTTTAAGCATGCAGAAATTTTAGATTTGAACTTTGCACTAAATGGGATTGGCAGCATGGGATTTTGGCTTCTTACGACTACAACAGAACAAAAATAAAGAAAAGAAAAGACTGGTAATCCGGTATTGTGGTCCTGTTTCTACTGGAGTAACATTGCAGTTAATGGGAAATAAAGAAACATTTAGATGACCAAATTTACAGCTAGATATACAGAAAGTATATGAACACAAAACCAGTTCTGCTCTGAACCATATGCAACATCGGGCCTGTGTGTGTATGGGTGGGTGCGTCTGTCCTTTTGGGAGGATCTAAACAAGGTTGTGTAACCAATTAATACCAATATCTGTTTAAATAGACGGGGATGTGAGTGGGAATTGCATCTAGCTATCTAATTCACATCCATTGTTCAGGTTGCATTAAATTCTCTAGCCAGTATTAACCATGAAAAATTGAAAGTTGGAAGAATAGCAATGATCTAGAAACCAACCTTAAGTGATATATGCGTATGGCTGACAGCAGAATTTGAAGGTCGGCTTCTGCCTGTTTGTTTACTTGCTTCCATGTCAAGTCCTCCAGTAGCAGAAACTAGAATGTTGGTATTGGTCCCAGGAACTGGGACTTCACTGATATCCAAGTTTGTATCATCCTTTGGATTATCTTCAGCCCCTTCAGCAGTCAAGAGCCAGTCCCATATTTTTCCATCATCAGAAATGGAGATCAAATGTGTTTTAGAAACAAGAAGAGGTTCATCACAAAAATCAAAAGGATTATCAAAATCCACATCAGGGAAAGGAGAATGAGGTACATCAGAGTAAAGCTTGCTGACGTTTTGGAAGGTCGAATCTGATTGGGAGATGACGAGAGCAAGCAATAAAGGAGAAGGGACAGATGTGCCAATCGAGGGAATCAACTCTTCCATTGAACACATTATGTGCACCTGTTCTCGTCTGCGTAAATATAAAATGCATATTAAGAATAGTAGAGTTGATTGATTGCGATCTAAAAATTACTTGAACTTCGTCATAAAATGGTTCAAATGCCAATAAGCTCCAGTTCGATTTCATGCACAAGTAGAACCATCGAGCAGCTTAATTCAAAACCTAACTTTCTACACTTAGATCGAGAGGTTCAATCTTTCAGATATAGCATAACGTAACAAAAATCATCAACGGAAATTGAAAAGGCTGCAATCAATCAAACTTTTGGATAACTCACTCTTTTCGGCGCCAAGTACTGAGCTTGCCATCAAGATGAGCGCAATAGAGGTACTCGTGATTGGGATCGGGTAACACATCCAGAAACTTGCCGCAGCCGCGAGGTAATGTAGCTGAAAATAGGGGCGCTTCGTACTGCAAATCGAACACCACCAGCTCCCTCGGGAAAGTCACGAACAGAATGTGCCTCCATTGCGGTGAGAAGGCGAGCCTCGCAGCGTAAAGCGGGAAAGCCGCGGACGCTGACGACGAGTTCCCGGCGACTCCACCGGCCAAGTCTCTCTCCAGCTTCAGCAACTCGGAGCAGTCGGTCCGAATCTGAAGCTCCTTAATAACGACGTCGTCTTCTGTCTCGCCCAACACGGTGACCGAGAGCAGAAAGCCTTTGAGTCCAATGACGCAGAAATGGCGCGAATCGAAGGGATCGCGACGAATGCAGGAGAGAATCTCAGGTGCGGCATGGTATCTCCAGAAGCATCGGCCGGTGGAGCTGTTGTAGAGGGAGAGAGAGGAGAGTCCGGAGATGGAGGCGAGGAGGTAGGAGTCGGGTCGGGCCTGGACCCAGGCGAGGTCCTGGATGGCAAGTTTGGACGAGGAGGAGTCGGAGTCGAACCAGAGGACTGGGGACTTGAGGCGGAGGTCGAGCAGGGCGATGCGGCCCTGGCGGTCACCGGCGGCGAGCAGGAGGTGGGAGCTGGAGGGCTCGGTGGAAAGGAGGTCGCGGCGGAGAGGGAGAGGGGTCCACCGGACGGAGGTGACGAACGGGGAGAGAGATGACGTGGAGGACGATGCTTGGGTGGGAGGGGGCATAGGGAGGGTGACGATGAGCTGCATTGAGCGAGCGTCGAGGACGGAAATGGAGCTACCGGAGGGAAATGCGAGGAGGCCCGATGGGCTGAGGTCGACGGATCCGAAGTTGTTGCGGCTGGGTGGGCCCGGCAGCATGCAGTCCCAGCAGTCCTGGACTGTAGAGGCCGTCGACGCTCTGGGACTCGACATGGCGTTGCAAGTGTGTTTTTTGTCCGACTTTCTCCTACTGTTGCGAGTATATAGACATTTTAGACAGATAGAAGAAGAACGTTCGGTTTGATGTTTTCTTTTTCTTTCTCAATTGGTTTTGGTGGCTAAAATTAAGGTCAATGTAATGGAAATTCCAAGGTCTCTCTGTCTCTATGATCCATTTATTCTTTCCTTTTTTAAACAATTTAATTAATGGTAGTTGTAGATGTAAACTTCCCAGCTCAGTGGCCCAACTTATTGCCTCCCACCATCTCTGCAACCTTGCGCATCGTGATGATGACGATGGATTGCCCTGCGGCGAGCATTGGGTCATTGGCCCCTATCATGCTTTCAAGGGGCTAAGATTGTTGGGCCGGCCCTAACTTTCTTACTTTTTTTTCCGGTACAATCGTTGGAGCAGCGGATACTTATTGGATGTTTGGGGGTTTTGAATCTTTAATTACGTGAGTGGAGGTGAAAGAGCTCGACTATACCCATTAGCTCGAGTTTGCGTAACATATCTGATATAATTTGTTATTTAGTTGGTCTATTCATATTTTGGAATTAAATTTGTACAATTCTAACAAATTGAAATGAGTTTACCCTTTTTAATATTAGTATTGCTGAAAATGTGGGTTAGACTAGTGAGCTTAAAGGATGGTAGAAATCCTCGTCGGGTCGGGTCGTCATTGATTCCCATACCCTAATAGGGGTGGGGTAAGGGGGATTCCCGAATTTTAAAAATTATTGATCATAGACAGGCAAGGATGATATTCTTATTCCCATCTCCGAACCCGGCCCGATAACATATATATTTTGATAAAAAGTAATTTATTTCTTTTAATTAGAATAAATTTATAATACTATAACAATGAACTTCTTATCAATTTCTTTCTTCTTATCAATTTATCTTTTGGCCGAGGATACAACTGATAGCAAGATTGTTTTTTGTTTTTATTACTTTGGCGCTGGGACATTCCTTCAAGTTCAATAGAGAGCTTATGCGTCCCTTTAGCCTGGAGGAAGTGAAAGATGCAATTTTCCAACTTGGGTCCCTTAAGACACCTGGCCCAGACGGCTTTCCAGCTATGTTCTACCAGAAGTATTGGCTTTCTGTGCAAGATATTATTTTTAGATCAGCTGAAGAGTTTTATACAGGGCAATCCCATATTCGTGACATGAACAAAACTTTCATTGCGTTGATTCCTAAGGTGCTTGCTCCTGAGTCCACCTCACAGTTTAGACCAATCAGTCTATGCAACACTTCGTACAAGATTTTGTCCAAGCTACTTGCCAACCGGTTAAAGTCTCTCATGCCCCACCTTGTTTCTGATTCCCAAAATGCCTTCTTGGCTGACCGTCAGATTCATGATAATGTGATTGTTGCTCATGAAGCCTTTCATTATCTTAAGCTTAAGAGAGCGGGACACAAGTATGAAGTGGGAATTAAAATTGACATGAACAAGGCTTATGATAGGGTGGAGTGGGATTTTCTGGAAGCTCTGTTACAAAAGCTTGGTTTCCATTCAGGATGGATCAGATTGGTTATGTTGTGTATTAGAACCGTCTCTTTCTCTGTCTTAGTGAATGGCCAACCTGGTTCGTCCTTCTTGCCTTCAAGAGGGTTAAGACAAGGTGATCCCCTATCACCCTACCTCTTCCTTTTGGTGTGCGAAGCGCTTTCATGTAATCTAACCAAGCTGGTGCAAGATGGTGTCATTAATGGTATCCGAGTATCTAGGCGAGCTCCAATTTTGTCTCATCTCTTCTTTGCAGATGACTCACTTTTTTTTATTAAAGCTGAAGAAGAAAACTGCTCTAGATTAAAGGGTCTACTTGATGATTACTGTCTCGCATCTGGTCAGTTAATTAATTATGAGAAATCTAGTCTTATGTTCAGTGCTAACACCCCTGAGGATGTCAAGACAAATATAAGCTCAATTATGGGTATTAGAGGGTTTGATAACTCTGGTATTTATTTGGGCATTCCAATGACTTGGGGACGGTCCAAGAAAGTGGTGTTAGCCTATATCCGCGAGCGTGTGGCGAAGAAGATAATGGGGTGGAAACAAGGCACATTATCAATGGCCGGAAAAGAAGTCTTGATCAAGGCCATTGCCACTGCTGTCCCAGCTTATCCTATGATGTGTTTTAAATTCCCCAAGGTGGTGTGCAATGAGATCAGTAGCAATATTGCGAAATTCTGGTGGGGAAAATCAGAAGGCGGCAATGGCATACACTGGAAATCTTGGAAGGCTTTGTGTTTGGCGAAAGGGGATGGAGGTCTTGGCTTTAGAGACCTTACGGAATTTAATCTGGCTCTACTTGCTAAACAGAGTTGGAGAATCATCTCTACTCCTAATGCCTTATGGGTTCGAATTCTAAAAGCGAGGTACTATCCTGATTGTGAGTTTAAGGATGCTGTTTTGGGTCACAGACCATCTTGGATATGGACGAGTATTCTAGAGGGAAGAGATGCTTTAATGGGCAGGGCCAGAGTCCAGATCATTAATGGTGCAGATACAAATATTTGGGGTGACAATTGGATTCCTGATAATGGCATTATTACACCAATCACTCACGTCCCTCCTAATGCTCCCCAAATGGTTTCAGATATTATCAATTTGCATAATCGAACTTGGAGTTTGGACAGGGTGAGTAGTTATCTGAGTTGGGAAACTCAAAAGCAGATTCTTGCCATCCCCATCGGTCCTTCGGGGCAGCGGGATAAGCTTGTTTGGCCTTGGACTTCGAACGGTCTATATTCAGTAAAATCCGGATATCAATGTTTGCAGTCGGCTCACCGTTACTTAGCATCTGGGAGTTCGCATTCTTCTCATTTCATCTCAAACCGAATATGGAAAGCAATTTGGAGTGTTCGCACCCTGCCTAAGATACGCATGTTCTTATGGAGATGTATGTCCAACGCTATCCCAACGCGGGTTAACTTATTCAGGAGGAAAATTACTGCCTCTCCTATGTGCGGCCTCTGCGATCAATACGAAGAATCCATCGAACACGCTCTACTTCTCTGCCCCTGGGCTCAAGCTGTGTGGTTTGGATCTCCAATGACGTTAAGAATTGATACTCAAAGCTTTAGCACTCTGGATGTTTGGCTGAATAGTATTCTGGACTTGAGAACTGAATCAAAAATGGAAAAGCATGATCTGCTCACTATGCTTAGCTTCTTTCTTTGGGAAATATGGAAGACCAGATGCAAAGCTATCATGGAAGGTTGTAGAATTGATCCATGCAAAGTGGTTGAAACAGCAAGTAAGGCAAAGGTGGAATTTCAGAAAATGTGGCATGGTAATGCAAATAATGAAACGAGCTATATAAGCATTTCCCTAGGTAATACTTTTTTTTCTTCCCCAAAGCAATGGTAGAAAAGCTGGTGTTGGAGTGGTAATTCGTAATTCAGTTGGGGAGTTTCTAGGAGGCATGGCTGCATCACGAGTGGGTCACTCTGCTCTTGAGGTGTCTTGGGGCTGGAGCTTGCGGCCAATCTGGGCTATAGTGATGTCTACGTGGAATCTGACTCAAAGACCCTTGTGGACGGGATCAAAGGGGAGGTAAGGAACCGTGCCTGGACTATCAGGCCTTCTATTGAGGTTATTTGGCGTAAAGCTGATCAGTTCAGAAGTGTTTTTTGGCGTTGGGTTCAAAGGAGTTCAAATCGAGCAGCTCATGAGGCTGCAGCGATAGGTTGCCGAGCAGTGGAGCTGGAAAGCTGGGTTACTCAACCACCGCTGTCTCTCATACATGTTTTGGTGTCTGATGGTCTTCCAGGTCCTCCTTAATTTTTGTTTTTTAGAGTTGGAGTTTCCTTCTTTTGCTGGATTGTAGCGATTCAGATGAAGGAGACTCTGTAGTTGTCTCAGTTTCTGCTTTCTGTGTATTTCCTATCAGTTGCCTTTTGGCTTGGAATCTAATTCATGGTTGACCAAAAAAAAAAAAGTTCAATAAATAAACCATATAATTTTGTACACGGGATATGACTGTTACAATTTGATTTTGCATGAATAGGATTATAGTATAAGGGGTTCAGATTCTTTCTTTCTTGCATATTGCATTCAATTTAATTTTATGCACATGTATTTGTTTGTATCAATAAATGTTTGTAATTGCTGGAACAACATTAAGAAAATGGAACATATTCAGTTTTCTATATTTTTTTTTTGGGTCAAATATTCAGTTTTCTATATATGAGTTGGTTGTTTATAAATAAATCAGGGATTCGAGGTGGGTTTGGAAGACACTTCCCCAACAAAGATGTGGAAAGAGATTCCCCGAAATTTTTTTATTAGGGATGAGGGCGAGGATGGGGAGCGGGGACTGGATCCCTTCTACCTAAGTTTCAATCCCACACTCCATAAATTACAAAGAAAGTCATGATAACTAGTGTGTAGTCCATAATAATCCACCCTGGTTGGTACAATTCAATAATTCTTCAATTAGAGCCTTATTTAATCAAAATAGTTGAGTCATCTATAGTGAAGGTTTTATATATGGTCCTTATGTAAGGTCCTATCTCTTAACCGTTCAATAAATCTAACAAATTTGATCCAAAGGTTAAGAGATATGGTCTCACCTAAAAGCCATATATAAGGCCATGACTATGGAATTCTTGCAAATTAGTTAACCATTAAATCAAATTAATTAGTTCGATCTAATGATTAAGAGATAGGAACTCATCTAAGGCAGTTACTATAGAATGACTATGGTACAATTGAATTGAATTGAATTTGGGGCAGCGATGGAGTGGTCCTGGCCTGGTGAAGAGGATGATAACGATAACCCACTAACACCTAACCAACTCAACTTCAACTTCAACTTCAACTTCAACTTCAACTTTGTGTGGCAACAGTCAAAGGCTGAAACTTGAAAAAGATAAAGGGTTATTAATTACTAGTTTTTTTGTGTTAAGCAGTTCAAGTAATATCATCACCACCACCTATGTCAATTCATTTGAAATTGAGGTCATCTGCTGTCAAGTGTACGTATTGACTACTTGCCCTAATTTATTTGATTGTGATATGTACTTTTGTTTTGTGCAAAAGATTCGATTGGATAGAACTTAAAATGTTTGCAATGCAGTGTATTGAATGTGACGTGGGCATATATTAATAGCAGCAGCAGACAGATATTGTTTACCTTTGATCATCAGTTTTCACCAGTCACCACTTTGCAACAAAAAATATCAGACAGATATATACTTTTCTTTCAGTAACTTTCACCAGCCAATGCCACCACCCCACCCACCCTTAAAAAAACCCTAATATAAGGTCTCAAAATGAAACTAATGCTTTGCTAAACAAGTCTGAAGTGATCCAATCCAATTCAAAATCCAATCAATGGAAGCAAAGTATGAGGAGCTAATGATCAGTTAATGCTTTGCTCATCTCTGATCCTGCAATATGAGGTCTAGGACAAAGGCAAAACTGGCAAACATGCATACCTGTACTTAAAAGTGACAAGCACCTACCAAATGCGTCTCTACTGCCTGGCTCCTACCTTTGGTTTGGTCCTTTCCCTTTTGTATTGTACAGCCATTTTCAAGAGCGGACAAGACATGAGCTTTTGGTGGGGAAGAGCAATGCACTGTCAGGGTGGTGTCAAAGCCAAGGCAAATGTTATAGACCACTCAACAACAACAACAACAACAATAAATAACAAATAAACACTGTAAATATTGATGCTTTTAGTTTAGCTAACACAGCTCAGCTGCTGTGTATTTCTCTTCTTTTCTGGGAGCTGCTGCTGCACATTGTTATATTTATGACTTTATGATCTTACTCAATAATAAGATGTATGTGACAAGCTTCTTATGTATAGGTAGCTTCGGATGCGTCAACCAACCACAACATAATTGTTCATGCCAACGCTTCCATCCAACCTCATCTCTACGGATCCTTTATGAGTGTGACAAACTTAACTCTACAATTATCATCACAAACAAGTTTGATAAAAGGCTATTAAAATCCAAAACCCTAGTATCCAAATAAAAAGTGTCAAAAAGATTATGACTCTATATTTTATTTGATCAGGGATTGTTTAGTTGTCAAATGTCATAAATCACAGTAGATCGTTAATTGTATTGATTGCACGATGATGATTGATTCAATTATCTACAAGGAGGGACACACCATGCACCTACATTGCACATCCACATTAAGAAGGGGAAATACCATGTTATATGACAAATCTTGTAACATGTCATGATGTGCACTCTCCTAGTATTAGTAAGATAGGGTGTCAATTTTCCCTTATGTTTCTGTCTGCCCATACTAATGGGCCAATTGCTGAATGGTATGGGCAGGGACAAATTTGCAGGCACAATTTGATACCCACCCCACAAACCACAATAAGCCCTCTTTTTCCCAAAGAGGGTGACCCCCAACACACAAAGAAAAGAAAAGATTGAACATCAAACTATGGTAAGCTTTTCTAAATTATTGGGGGAAGACAAAAGCATGGGAAAGCTACCCTTCCTCTCTCCCCATGTACTACCCAGCAACAACTGTCCCATTGCACAAACTTAGAGAATGAAGGTGGGGAAACAGAAACAGTGCAAAAGCACAACTGAAAAATGAAAACCCATCACTCCATGTAGAATAGTCCTAGCACTAATTTGTCCTTCCAGCAAACCACGGCCAACGTATTTCTCTTCGTCTTCTTTGTGCCCAGGCTTCATAAGCTGCTGCTCTTCAAGTTCAAGATGCCAAGGCCAGGGCCAAGACCTTATGAGTGTGTGAGGCGAGCTTGGCACAGCGATAGACACCAACCCATGAGAGGTTCTATCATTCAGCAGATTTTCAGGTATTGGGTCCTCTTTGTTTCAACGGGTTTCTTGGTAAAGGTTTCTGCTTTTCACATTTTGCTGCTTACCCATCACCTGTTTGATTAGGGTCGTCAGTGAGGTTCATGGCTCCGTGACTAAGAAGAACAAGGAATGGCAAGAAAAGCTACCTATGGTGGTTTTTAAAGCAGAGGAAATTATGTATTCCAAAGCCAATTCAGAGGTTTTTCTTTTTCCATTTCAGGGTTAGAGTTTATTCGCATTCACTGTTGGTTGTGCCTTTGCTCATTTTGCTTACTTCTATTGAAGGCTGAGTACGTGAATCTTGAAACGCTATGGGACAGAGTAAATGACGCCGTTAACACAATTATCCGGCGAGATGAGGGCACTGAAACCGGAGAGCTTTTGCCGCCTTGTGTTGAAGGTACCGTTGACTTGATTTCTTTGCATTTTGTTGGATTGAACTCTGAAATTATGCTACTGGGTTGTTCTTATTTCAATGCATATTAGTTCAAGCTTAGTTTAGTTTGCAAGCAGAAATTGTGCAAAATGAATACACTAGAGGTGTGATTTTGTATGTGTGTTTTGGTTCTTCCTCTTTATGTTGTTCAGCTGCCCTTAATCTGGGTTGCATTCCAGTAAGAGCTTCAAGAAGCCAACGCCACAGTAATCCAAGGATTTACCTCACTCCAAGAGCACAAGAACCCCTTTCTGCTCCCACTAGGATTTTGGATAGAACTACTGATGAAAGACGCCCTCAGTTTTCTCCACACCACTCTGGCAATCAATTTAACTTTGCAAAAGCCTCAACTGGGAATTCTGCACATTCGGTCCCAGAATCATACAGCCGCATCAACCAAAATACTAACCTTAATAGCCGTCAGAATTACCCCTTTTCACTCGAGAATCTTCCTGCTGGCCATAACCAGTTAACAACAATGTCAACCAACAACTCCTTGGACTTGGGTTCAGTATATCCATTATATTATGGAACTCACTATCAATCCGAAGAGTGCCAGGTAGGTCCTCAGGTCCCAGAAAACACACATTCTAGGACTATATATGTTGGCAAACCAATTGTTTCCTCAATTGCGGAGCCTACTAAGCACAACCTTTTCTCCTCTCAAACTGCTGAAAATGTGTCACACAGAATCACACAAGTAGAAGTCCATGATAAGCCACTAGAAACGGAATGTGATTTATCATTGAGGTTGGGTCCGGTCTTGCACCGATGTATTCAAAGAAGTTTGGCCAGTGAAACGGAAGATATTGGTTCGAGCAGTTCTCAAGATGGGGGAAAATTAAATGATTTGTCACCATCGATAAGTAAGGAAATCTGTTTCTTTCCCACAAAGACTGCTTGTGATCGCTTTGAGTCCACTTCAAGTATGTGGAATTCAGAGGGTGAAGGTTGGAGTCCGGAGGCAACTGTAAGGAAGCGCAAGGCACCTTTTTGTAGCAATGAAGAGGATGGGAAATTTTGCGAGCAACCACATGTCCTGCCCAACAGATTGGCTGATCGAACTACAGGGCCTGGTTTGTAGACACTCTTTTCCTTGTGTAGTATATATGCTTAAAAATCCAAGATCCCAATATATTATTGAATCCTCTTTTGAGAGAACTCTCTTCTTATGTAGCTCTGGTTGTGAAATTTCACAAGTTGATGTTACTTGCTAGTTGCATTCGTGGAAAGATGTGAGTTGTAAATGAAACCCGAGTTGGATTTATATTATATGATCAATGTCCTGGTAACATCAAATTTCCTGCTCGTGACAGAAACTAGTGAGATCAGTCAACTTTGCATTAGTTAGACTTATTGAGTTGAGTGAAAATGAGAGAATTAAGTGTTGTAGGTAGAAGACATGAGAGCTTTGTGGTACTGTGCAAACATGGAAGCAAAGCAAATAGAAACTTCAAATTTTAGGACTTCACAACAATGAATTGGAGTCCTCTATGAAAATTTGGCATTCCGCTCTGCGGCCTCCAAGTGGATGGCTTCTTTCCAAGAATTTGTATTGAAAGTTGTAGGTTAACAGTTCCTATAAGCTTTTAGATGATGAGTGCTTCTAATTTTGGGAATGGGCCGTATTCAGATCCGGTGTGTTATAGGTTCCAAGGGAAAACCTTTGCTGTTTTGCTTGGTGTCTGAGGGAATATAGCTTTGTCTGATCAATATCTGATATTGAGACCTGGGTTGAGAGCTTTTGAAGATCATTATCAATTTTTTTAAGGTTTGTAGAGAAAATCCTTTTGTGAGGGCTCGAATGGTGTAGGGGTTTCGTTTTGACACAATGTTGAATCCTCTTATATGAGAATTTTCAAAAGTTGTTACTTGTTAGTTGCATTTGTGGAAAGACGTCAATGAATTGTAAATGAGAGACCTGAGTTGAAACATCAAATTTCCTGCATATCTGACAGAAACTATTGAGATCAATCAACATTGCATTACTTGAGACTTGTTCAGGGCACAAGACATTTTCGATCTCTGTAGTTTAAACTGAAACAATCATTCCCCAATAGTTTAGTAACATTTGCATTTGGTCCAAAATTACTTTTCTTTGCCCAGTTAATTGAGAGAAATGATGCATCTCGTGACTCGTCGCATGGAAGGGTAAAAGTGTAATTTCATCAGGGCACAGTACTGAAACTGACGAAGCAACAATTTATTGTGAATTGTTGAAAAAAAGGTAGAGCATTGATTGATGTATATATGATCATCAAATAACAAATTCAATTCAGTAACATTTTACTGGGAAGGAAGGACCAGTGCAAAGAATGAGAATTAAAGCGAGGACAGAAATGAGAATATTTGCAACAAATTAAAGTAGGTCGTTTGCCCGCGAAAACCTTCAACTCATTTGAACAAGTAACCCAGTTCAAAGTTCAAACCAAGGATTGGAATTATGCCCAGAAAAGAAAAACGCCATGTTCAAACTTCAAAGTTGAAACCCTTGCCAAGCAAGCGTGCATTACATTTCGTTTGGTATAACAACTTACACGTACCACTTTTATTCAAAATAATTGTACAGTACACTAGTGCGTTGATGTATAACATCATGTTATTGTAATGATAAATATGAATATGATCAAACCATACTAAATAAAAGGAACATACATTAGTTTAGGACAACGAATTTATTAAGAATGATCAAGGAAAGAAATGGCAACTAGTGTGGAGATGATGAGGCCAAAGAAAGAGCCGAGAGTAGTTGGAGTGAGAGATGAAGCATAGGAGGGTGGTGGTGGTGGTGGAGGAGGAGAGGAGTTGTTGGCTGCTGATCCAACGGTGATGGTGACTTTTTGGCCTCGCTCGCAGTGATCACCAACAGTGCAGATGAAGTAAAGTGTATCAGTAGAATTGATTTCGATCCTCACTCCTGGGCCGAACACGATCCCTGGGTCAGTGCACTTATCGTATTCTTCTTTTGACGCTACTCCGCCCACGTTGTGGTTTCCAGTCCAATTGAATACTGCAGCATTAAGATAAACATTAACATTAACCAGTAATGATGACAAAATTAATAAGAACAAATTAAAGATATTCCATGTAGGTATTGATTAATTTTTCAGATTAAGACTTCCGATCTGCTCAGAGACTGCCAAAGATATTAACAACCAGCTGCGGCGATATTATCAATCTTACGACGTCCGATCCCAAATACTTTTTTGCACCATATATACTACAATTGTTTTGTTTCCACCATTGTTATATATATATATATATATATATATATATATTTATATGCCTCTCTTGATTTACATCCAAATCATTATTGTGCCCAAATGTATAACATAACATACATGTTTTCTTTATTTTATTTTATTTTTGCCATTGTTACGCCTCTCTTGATGACAATCAAAGATAGATTCTTCTAATATGACATTGATACGTGTGTATTATTATTGTCAATAATATGATAATAACAAAATGTACTGACATGTTATCGAGAATATCGATACAAAATTCGGTTATCTTGTATATATATATAGGTTCTACCAGCTCTTTAATTAAAGGTGGTATACAAAATATGGTCTCTCTAGCATGAACCTTTTAGTAAATATGTACATGTGAGTTATTTACTCACCAATCTGGGTGATGTGGCAAATTGGAGTCCACCAACATCATAATCGAAACGACATGAGGGAATAGGCAGATAGGGAAGAATGGGGATTAGGTAGGGTTTTTTTAAAGAGTAATGCTGCACTTACTACATTTTTATCCCACATTTTTATATCACATGATGTGACATGTTCATATTATACGTCACATCAATTAAATCAATGAAGTGTATTTTAATTAAGACAATTAGAAAAACAAATACTGGAATAAATCATAAAATAAAATAAAATATTAAATAATTTTAATTGACGTGGCTGTCCACCTCAGCTGCCACATAAAATGGTATAGGGATGTGGTATACAAATGTGGCAAGAGTAGCATTATTCTTTTTGTAGTTATTTATTTTTATAATTTTATGTTATTTTATTATGTTGTAATTAATAATGTTTTTTTAGTACAAGCAATAGTCTAAATTAGATTGAAGGAGATTTATCACACACACACACAACTATGATGTCATTGGGATTCGAATGTGAGACCTCTTATCTGCAAGTTAAGGTCTTTTTCCATTGGGCTAGACCCCTTTGGTAGTTAAAAAAAATAAAAATTTAAGGTAAATAATTTAGCAAAGATATTTGATACAAATTTTACTAAATAGCCCTTGCCACGTCAACAATTTTAACAGACTTTTGGATGGAGTTAATGATATGGGGCAATGTGGAACAACAAATCTTGGGCAAAATGGATCACTTGGACTTCCAAGAAGTAAAATGAGACCTGATCATAGTTTTGGGGGCATTGCAACAAATAAGCCTTATATTTATGGAAAAACTACATAAAACTCCCCAAATTATATGGTCATTTTCAAGTTCATATCAAACTTTAGAGACATTTACGAGTACATAATCAAACTCCCGGAAAACCTACAAATTGACCCTCCATTACACAAACTGTTAATGAATTTGTTAAATGTTGATGTAACAAATGTGACCCCCAATTTTTGATGATGTAGATTCCATGTGGCCAAAATATATAATAAACAATTCTTTTGTTTTTACAAATATTTCTTGACAAACTTTGAATTCATTGACTGGGTTTGGGTTTAGGGTCTGTTTGTCTAAAGTTTAAACTGAGCATCACTAGGCCCAGCTAATCTGACAGGCCTGGGCTCAATTCATGTTATAAGTGTGGGTTTTTAACATAAGTACACCCATTAATCTGATCTGTGCAATCAACATCCAAAAAGATTCCCAAAAAAAGAGGAAAAAAAACTTCCGACTGTCCCTGCATTGAATCTGCTATAGAAAGAAACAATGAATGAAAATGAACAAAAAGGATGAACACTTTCGACCAAAAAAAAAGAAAAAAAAAAGGATGAACACAAAACAATCTGCCAATTACAAGAACATATATGAGGCAGTACATAGTACATTTTATTTAATTAGTAGCTCAAGAAGAAGGCTGCTATGGCACTGCAGAACAACAAGGCAGCGATATTAAGGGTGGGAGAAGAAGCGCTGTTCCCTTCCCACCAGCGATCATCATCTCCTCCAATTTTGATAGTCACCTTCTGTCCAAAATCACTGCAGTGACTGTCTACCGTGCATATGAAGTATCGGGTCAAGTTGGACGTCAGTGTAATTGGTACAGGGCTTGAATCATACAAAGCCAAAGGATTCGACTTTGTGCAGTTCCCGTAATTAGCCTCTGATACTTCAGCTACTGTGTGTGACCCAGTCCAGTTAAATACTGCAAAAACACCAAACAAAAAGACAGTTATTAGTTGATTAACCAAAAAAAACTTAATAATATTGAAGATATAGACAAGGCAAATCTGGGTTAGGTCAGTTTACTACGGCAATGAGCCGCCCGCTTCACCCATGAATCCCCTCCCCATAGTAGGGTTTTTGAAGTAAATAACAATTACCTATTGTGTCACCAATCTGAAAGCTCTTTTTGTTAGCCCAGGTTTTATAGGCTATAGAGCCCGCTGGAGGAATGGTCCAGCCTAAATCGTCTCCAACAGTGTAATTATCAGCTGCGGCACCCTTCAACAGGGCCACCGCAACAACAAGAAGCAAGCAACCAACATGTAAGCCCATCTGATTAGCCATCTCTGTGCTGCTGTGTTCTGCTTTAGGTCGTCCCTGGCTCTCTACTTTTCTTCTCTTTTTGGAAATGTTTTGGTGTATGAATCATCTAATGTCGACTACTTATAAGATTGCTGGGATTGCTTTATTAGAATTCCTTTTTCTCTTTTTTGTTGATTCAGAACTGTGCCAACCAAGCGAGTTCCTTGCTTTCAACATAGGCGACTGGTCGTTGCCAACGTTAACTCATCATCATCTAGAAGGTTGACCATTTTCTATACATAAACATATTCTTTTCATTTCAAAATGATTAACGCGTTATTCTCGTTCTGGAAGCAAAGACCAAAACATACGGTATTGTATAATTGTAATCTAGGATTAAATGAAGCTCACTCAAGTCATGATGGCAGAAAGCCATTGTGTGATTGGGATTGGAACTCAAAATTCAAACCCCTTTTTTGTTGTTGTTGTTGTGGTTTTTGGTACATTTAATTCAAACCAAAGCAACTACGTCTTTGTCTTTCTTTTCCTTATTTTTCCCAATTTAGGATATAGTAAACTCTGTTTCTGGTATATCCACTTTACAACAATGTGAAAGGTATATATGCGAAGTTACTAAATGGTAACCATGCCAAACGGAAGGTATGGTCGTCATGACTAAATGGTAACCAGGCCAAACTAGAGGTAGCAGGCTATAGTTGGAGGTAGCTAGAGTGTGTTACTTTAGAAAACCTGACATGATATGCAATTAACACTCTAAACACGTCATCTTACAATCATCGTTCATACGAAAATAAGAGAGAAATTTATCTTTATTTTTAAACAATCGATATTCTACTTTAATCTAATCTAAATTACGGGAAGATTCGAACTCAGGTGCAGAGTGGGGAGCACGTCCACTTTAGCCAATTTGGCTAAACCCATATATGTTAAGATGATTTTTATGAAGTGCCAATTATTAATCAATCAAGTCCTTAATTTTAAAGTTAAATGTGATCAAATTTTATTGAATGATCCAAGGAAGTAACTTTGATCGATGCAAGGAAGTAACCATTACCCAAAAAAGAAAAAAAGAAAAAAGAAAAAAGGACTGCCCTAAAGGATTAGGCGAGTCTTTCTTCACATAAGGGTTCGGTCATCGATCCTTATTTAAAACATGAACATTTTAAGGTGGTGTTTGGGGTTGCTTAAATTTTTTAAAAAGCAGTTTATTTTTAAAATTTTCTGACTTTAGGTGTTTGGTAAAACAAGTGAAAGCCATTTTAAAAAAAAATCACAGGTTAGTGGCAGCAGATTTGAGAAGCGGGTGGCGAGCTGCTTTTATAATATACTTCTTTTTGAAGCATGCGGAGCTTTTAATAAAACTTTCATAATCCCTATACTACCCTCATATGTTTTTAAACAATTACATGTTTTTGCCATAATTTCCACTCCCTCAGATTTCACGCCTCCTCCATCTCCATTTCACTCTCTCAAAATAGTTCATAGTGTTGATAGAATTTCGATTCTGGGCATAAACGACAAGTGAGTTTGTTTTGGTTTTTAGAATATCTTAGGGTAAGAGATGGGTTAGCCAATGGGAAATGGGTGGCTTGGCTTGTATTAGAGAAGCCTTAAACTTGCTCAAGCTAAAGAGCAAAGAAGTTGCAGAGAAGGGAGACGAAGAAGAAGGGAAAAGAAAGAAAGGGGAGGGTCGAGAGAAGAAGGGGCTTTGATGGGGAAAATAAAGAGAGAGAGAGAGAGATAGAGAGAGAGAGAAAAAACGAAATTGGAGGTGTTTGACTATGAAATTGCAGTGCTCGACTTTGCGGCATATATATATACATATATATATACCTTCACAAACACTGTAACATCTCATATCGACCAATGGAGAGGGGGTGATGTGCTTACCTCCATCTAGTATGAGGCCTTTTGGGAGCTCACTGGCTTCGGAATCATGGGAACTCCGAAGTTAAGAGAGTTAGGGCTAGGGCAATCTAAGAATAGGTGACCCATTGGGAAGTTGCTTTGAGTTCCTAGAAACAAAATCGTGAGGGCAGAGAGAGGAGCCCAAAACGGACAATATCGTGCTACGGCGGAGCCGATCTCGGGATGTGATAATTTGGTATCAAAGTCACTCTGTTGTGTGGTGCGAGTGTGCCGACAAGGACGTAAAGCCCTTGAGAGGGTGGATTGTAACATCCCACATTGACCAACGGAGAGGGGGTGATGTGCCTTATATGTACATGTCCACCTCCGTTTAGCACAAGGTCTTTTGGGAGCTCACTAGTTTCGGAGTCATGGGAACTCTGAAGTTAAGCGAGTTGGGGCTAGGGTAATCCCAGGATGGGTGACCCACTAGGAAGTTGCTTGTGAGTTCTCAGAAACAAAACCATGAGGGTAGAGAGAGGGGCCCAAAACGGACAATATCGTGCTACAGCGAAGCCGATCCCGAGATGTGACAAACATGAATTTGTATGAAACTATTGCATTTGGGCTTTTTTTGGATTGGGGCTGCTTGTGTTGGAATTGGTTTTGATTGGAAACTTTAGGTGTCTAAATAACAAGAATTTGTATGAAATCACAACAAAAACAAGTTTTGTATTGAAGCTTTTGGATGAGGAGTTGGTTGGACGACGATAGCCAAAAGAAACGAGGCTTGGGAAGGAAGAAGAAAAGAGAAAGAAGATAAGAGGAAGAAGAAAAAAAGGCGTGGCTTGGGAAGGAAGAAGAAAGGAGAAAGAAAAGAAAAATGGGCCTGGGAAGGAAGAAGAAAAGAGAGAGGAGGGAAGAGGGAGAAAGAAAAAAGAAAAAGAAATGGGGCCTGGGAAGGAAGAAAAAATTTATGTAGAGAAATTGGTTTTTTTTTTTTTAAAAAAAAAAAAGTAGAAAAAGAATGAAGAAAATAACAAACAGTTTCATCGTAATGTATTTTTTTTATCATTATACATGCTAAAAGCACTTCTGATAAAAATTTATCAAACACTTTGACTACTCGCCGTAGTTTTTCAAAAACAATTTACCAAATGCTTAATAGCTTTTTTTCACAGTTGATTATTTTTACAGCACAGCAGAAAAAGTTTTTTTTTTCTTTTTTTAAAACACAGTAATACCAAACTATGCCCAAGATAAAGCATACAACTTTAAACACAAGTGGACTGAGGTGGTGACATGAAAAGCTACTAGCTATGGTCATTTTCGATTTTGAAAATACGAGACGGAGACCCATATTTTTGTAGGCCTCTAGTCTGTCTAGGCCTACAATATGAAACCAAGTGGCTCTCTCTGGATTTTGGCATTTGTCATATTAGTTATATGTCTCTGTCTTAATTCAATAATGTGTCCTTTTTGTCGTCCAAGGACGGGAAAATAGTAATCTAATAATGTGTGGTTTAAGCGGATTTGTTCTCTGTTTGAATTAATAACTTTTGACATATTCTAATTTAATGAATTGATCATGTCCTCATGTGTGACGAGAGTCGAGACGAAGCTGATATTTTACCATACCAACAGACTTGGAAGGAAATGGTCCGTCCATGGTCCACCAGGCTATCGCCATACACGCACGTAGCAAGTAGAACAGCTGCTGCTGCTGGCGTGGAACCAAAATTGCCTTTTCTAAAAGCTAGATGATAATGCAGCCAAAAAAAAAGGATATCTATCTACAACATTGCAAGTAGAAGATAAGGCTGAGTCTGGCACCGTGTCAAACTTTGAATTTTCTTATGGTAAACCAGACAAATGAATTGGTTGGAAGAGTTGGTAGAAAATTGAATTAAAAGTTTGAAAGCAAACCATCTAATTTGAATTTCTTTTTGTCCACAATATTATTCATTCATGAAAAAGAAATGAACGGAAGAAATCCTCCATGGCTGAAAAGTCAAAAACTCAAAATCAGCTTTATTAGATCAATAATATACTCACTGTGTATAAAAACAACAATCACGTACGCCATCCCATATAGCGCTGCGCTGTCTAATAATTAATTTAAATGAATCACATCACACAAATTAACTATATACCAACACGCATCCATCTAAAACAACAAAGCCAAAGCAATGAACAGGAAGGTTGCAGATAGGCCAGCAACCCTAACAGATGTTGCTGCACTTGGTGGTGGTGGTGGAGGGCTAGCAGAACCTTCTGGTGTTGGTGGTGATGATGATGGAGTGGTTGGGCTGCTGGGGCTGCCAGATGGAGGACTGGCGCCGCTGCCAGGGGTAGTGCTAGTACTCGGACCCGGTGCCGGAGCAGCTGCCGGTGGTGGAGGAGGAGAACTAGTACTGGGAGCGGGTGCCGGAACAGCTGCCGGTGGTGAAGGTGAAGGTGAAGGAGGAGGAGAGCTAGTACTTGGTGCAGGAGCTGGAGCTGGAGATGAAGTTCCGGTGACATTGATGCTCAACTTTTGACCACCAATACAATGGCCACCAAAGGTACAAATGTAATAATGCTCCCCAGAACTGTTCAGTGTGAGATTTGCAGGGCCGTTAGTCGCAATTGAAATGGGGCTATTGGCATTGCAAGAATCATAAGATGCCTTTGTCACTTCAGCTACGTCATGATTTCCGGTGCTAAATTTGAACACTGTGTATGTACATAAATATATAAATGAGATTAGATCATCACATAAATTAAACAATGAGTAATTAGCTGAGCTAATTAAGCTTATTGTTAATTACCAAGAACGTCGCCAACAGTGAAGGTCTTGTTTGAAGCCCAGGTAGCGTAAGTTCCAGCGGGAGGGACGGTCCAACCCAACGCATCACCCACTTCATAAGTATTTGCTGCCCCCACCGAGTTCATTACCAAAGCCAGAGCCGCCATGGCTACAAAAAACGCCATGTTTGAGTTCTTTGCCATCGCTTTTGTGTTTTTGAAGGTCAGGTCGCCCCTGTTTTCTCTTGCTCTGTTTTTCTGTCCTCTGTTCTTCAACCTTACGAAAAGTTTGGGTTATTATGGCAAGAACTGAGTAGGAGAGAATATCTTCGTCATCCTTTATATAGAGGAAGGCCTTGCGATGATCACAAGTTATGGTAGTTTGGAGCCGTCGGATGGATGCCACGTTTGTTCTTCGGTCAGCATGATCGATGCTTCAGATGTGCTGATGAGGTAGGCTCAACTGGTCCAACTCTGCCGAGATATGGGACTTGTGGTGTGGACATTCAGATTTCCGCGTGAGAGGCTGAGAGCTCTCACCAAACAAAAGTGTGACCATACCTTTAGGCGTTGACTAGTCATTGCTTTATATGAATTAAATTGCCAAGTCTGGGAATTAGAGTTCATAATCGAAACAAGTGAGAAAAAGTAAAGGAACGACCACATTGACCATCTAGTAGTATAATTTTTTACCAAGGAAATTGCCAAACAAAATAATAAAAAAGGGTTTCCTTACAATGTGGAACGTAGAATTTGTCAGACTTAGACAGTAGGCCAAGCGTGGATTCGTTAAACCCTCCATTTCCATGTGAATTTGGCGACTCTTTCCGCGTTTGGATTCACATACATGAAAGAATTGCGTCCATTGACAATGGCAGCACCTTTTTTTTTCTCGTTACGGGCTGTCCTTCTCGGCCCCTGAATAATTCTAAAATAATAATATATCAAATGGAATCGAACTCTTAACCTAACTTAATTCTAACACATTTCGATTTCGTCACTCATTCTCGTCACTTGAACTAACCACAATGGCTTAAATACTTACAATCAAAACTGCGTTCTTCTTGTTATTCCTACAATTTACATCAAGTATATGTCTTAGACTTTCCTAACATACTTCTTGATCATAGTTCTGGGCACTTATATTCTTGCAATGCTTTGCATCCTTTTAGAGGCATGTTATTACTCTGCTAGATCGTCTGTTTTAGATGGTTGGTTGCAGCACAAGTAAAAGAAAATCTACTTGCATCAAAATTGTTTGCTAATGAGTTAAACAAAGTAATCTACTGTTGTAAAAACGATGAATTCAAGTGTGAATGATATTGAACAAGAAAGCCTTAATAATCGAGTTTCAGGTTGCTTGTGTTTGTTCACATGTTACTGATATTTTGTTAATCTTGAAGACTGTTGCTTCAGTTGCCTAAAAAAAAATTCCATCTGTCATCTACTCAAAATTTTCAAACAATTGTCAGCACAGTTGGTTCTTTCTTATTATTCAGTCAGGAAGCAGTGGATTGTTAATGGCTCATTAAAGTGAATAAGAGCCTCCTAAACATAGATTATACTTTTCTTTGATAATTAAGATCATGATGATCCTAATCCATTGCAAGTAAAATTTCAGAAGTGCTCTGAACCTGGCTAGTAGCACTGTAAAATTTTACACTTTCAACTTCTGGCCCTGACGATATATCGAAATATATTTCTTTCTCATTCATTAGTTTAAGCGAAGGAGACCTTGCTCCAACCAGACCAAAGTCCAATCTTTTGTTTTTTTTGGTTTTTTCTTGAACACCTAACTCCATGACTTTTTGACACATAATCTGCTATTTTCATATATAGCCTAGGCTTTGATTATGAGCGCTTTCGAGGAACTTTCCAAATTGACCGACTATATATGCCTGGAACAATTTTCTGCAATCCAATTTTGACTTTATGATATATAGCATTATTATATGGTTCCATTTTATATTAGCATCAAAGAATTTGAAGTATGCTTTTTTTTTTTTTTGGATACAAGTGATATTCTATTTTAATTTAATCTATACTATAGCGTGGAGGGGGACTTAAACTCGGGTGCAGAGTGAGGAGCACATCTGCTCTAGCCAACTTGACTAAGTACATGTCTGAATTTGAAGTAAACGAATGTAAACGAAACGAAGTGGAAGAGTATAACTAAAAACAGGTAAATGGCTGCAATTATTCATATATATAACCACCAATGTAAACGAAAGAGCAGCCATGATTATTACAAGTGTGAAAGATCAATGGAGGACAAGGCAAACAAATAGCTTTGTCCGAAATCCATGTAACAAAACTGAATGTTTATATAAATCAAATCAAACCAATGCAGCCTCAGGGTATACATGTACTGCAAATATAAAGAACTAAGGTAGGAGGACTTAATACAAAGGAACAAAAACACATGAACTAGCTATAGCTAGCTAGCTACTAATAATCAATAATAGAGAAACGCTGCCATGGAAATGAGCACGAAGGTGAAGTGTCCGCTGCCAATCTTGGAAGGGGCAGAGCTGGATGGAGCAGGAGCAGAGCCCGGGCCACCAGTAGAAGTAGTAGGTGAGGAAGGTGCTACGGAACCAGAGGGGGAGGTGGCTGTGCTACTGGCTGTCACGTTAATGGCTAGTTTTTGTCCCAAGACGCAGTGGCGATCGTAGGTGGAGGTGAAGAAATACTCACCACTGGTGTTGAGAAGGATGCTTACTGGACTCTTTGAATAAACAGCAATCGTATTGTTGGTTGTGCAGTTTTCATAAGCTGACTTGGTCACCACAGCTACATCTTGCGTGTCATTCACAAAGTTGAAAACTGCAAAAGCAAGAAATTGAAACATTAACTGGATTATCAATTAAAAAGTTCTTAAAGTCACAGGTTTAAATTTTAATTAACAGAAAAGTAATTAATATTTCATATGTAGCAGAGTTTAGTGTGTTTTTACCTAGAGTGTCTCCCACGATGAAGGTTTTGCCATAAGCCCAAGTGGCATAAGCATATACGCTGCCTGGGACAATCCAACCCAACTCGTCACCAACGGTGTAAGTGACTGGTCCTCTGGGGGTTGGGGCAGGAGCTGGGACTGAAGGGCTAGGGTTTGGTCCAGGATTAGCAGTCACGTTGATGGCTAGCTTTTGTCCCAATTCACAGCGCTTGTCCTTGGTGCCAATGAAATAGTACTGTCCAACAGTCTCCAACTTGAAATAGGCCGGGCCAGTTGTCTGAACTGTAGCATTGGTGTTTGAAATATTGCAGGATTCAAAAGCCTCCTTGGTCACCCTGGCTACATCTTGTTCTCCGGTTGTGAAGTTGAACTCTAAAGTTGAGCAAACATATCTCATCAAACATCAATGAATTGAACATAATCCAATTGAAATATACTTCGTTACTTAATTCGGTCTTAAACTAATTAATTAATTATTTACCTAGAGTGTCTCCCACATAGAAAGTCTTGCCATAAGCCCATGTAGCATAAGCAAGTTCACCACCTGGCGGGACAATCCATCCGAAATGATCACCAACGACGTAAGTCACGGCGCCTCTAGGTGCAGGACTGGGTTTAGGTGCAGGGCTTGGAGTAGGGGATCCATGTTCTGCAGTCACGTTGATGGCTAGCTTTTGTCCCAACCTGCAGTGCTTGTCCTTGGTGCCAATGAAATAGTACTCTCCAATGGTATCCAAAGTGAAATTGGCCGGACTAGTTGTTTTAAGTGTGAGGGGGTTTGTTGAATTGCACGTCTTGAAAGCTTCCTTTGTGACCCTGGCTACATCTTGGTCACCGTTTGTGAAGTTGAACACTGAAAATTGATCAAACACATAATCAATAAGACACGTATATAAGACATACGGGCAATCTGCCTTACATTAATATTGCTAAAACAACTACTGTTGGCTTGTATTTGTACGTACCAAGAATGTCACTGACGGCGAATGTTTGCGTTTCAGCCCAGGCTTCATAAGCGTAGGCACCTCCGGGAGGGACCAGCCATCCAAATTTATCTCCAACCACATGGGTTTGCTGTGCTGCTGTGGAGTGGAGCAGAGCAACCACTGTTATGGCTAGAATTGTAAGTTGTCTGCCCATGTTTGTCTTTTCGTAACTTGTAAGTGCTGCTTTTCTTGTCTAGCTCTCCCTTGTTTGTATGTTAACGCTTCTGTTTCTGTGAAGAATGAGATTTCTGTTGCGGCCTTTTTTATAGAGGTGTTAGCAGGAAGAAATTATGGGGAAGCTTTGGTGATAATGACATTAACAAATTAATGTTAGCAAACGTTTCCCAATTTTATACTCGATCACATTTCATTCAAGGAGGTCTAGAAACCTATGACCAATCTACAATTGACGTGGACCCAGTTGATTTAATCAAATGAAGATGAAGACGTGCATATCTCAGGACAGAAAGTCCTGCTTTGGTTAGGTCTGTTAGTGAACTTTATTTGCTACTTGTCTTGAAAGAAAGATAAAAATGAAAAAAATCTCAAATCATATATGTACACCTTCCATTTGTATTTCTTAATTTTGTAGAAATAATATACAGTGGGATATTTGGATAAAACACTTTCCTTTGTTTGTAAATGAAGTCTTATTTCATAAGCCTAGTCTGCAATATCATTTTAATTTTATTATGCAGCCTCTAGAGTGAGCTTGAAATGATCCAGCATTTTCAGCGTAACGCGTTTTCGACCATCAATACCTTCTAAAAGACGAATAACTTTTGATTTGGCCTGCATATTTATGTAGTTTTAGAACCTATCTACAATCAAATAGTCAAAATTTCTAAACTTTTTAATCTATTGCTTGGGGATTGCTCTACTCTATTCTATGACACCAACTTTTTTTTTTCTTCTCTCACATTACTGCAGGCTGCATCCATAAGTTTCGACAGAATGGCATATGTCATTGAGTTTGTAATGCCTACCAAGAATAACATGACTTTTGCCAAGGCATTGGAGATCCTCTAAGCCTTCTTTCTCTGACTTCTAATGATAACAGAAGTTTCATACAACTATTATACCTTTTATTTTATTTAATTAACATGACCAGTTCATTTCAATCCTTCCATAATGAAGAATTATTAGTCTTATATTACTGCATAATCTCTCCACTTCATGTTGACTGGCCAGGGCAGATCAGCTTCTTCTGTAAGACATATAATATATATTTACAGAAACAGAGACACCCTTGCTCATGAATTTGGTTGGTTCCTCTGTTTCTGTTATGTAAATCAGTGGAAGAGGTAGTTTATTTTACATTTCAGATGATCAAATGTTCAGTATCAGTAGGTGAAGAAGGGTCCTCTGTTTCTGCTATGTAAATCAGGGGAAGAAAAACACTGATGCTCTGTTTTGAATAATAATTCTCACCAATAAATAAGAAGAAGTTCAAAGTTTAATGCTTGTTTTTTTACATTTATACAAGATAAAAATATGCAAGTGTAAAATAATAGCAAAAGGATTTAAAAAGATTATAAATTTAAGAGAGTCAAGAAACGTAGAATAGAAGAAGCATTGTCTTTCAATATTGTTAAGCCGTCATTATTCAACTAAATATGGATTGTGATTGCAAATTGTAATACTAAGTCAGCTTAAGAAAATTCATTTACAACATCGCATCTGGACTCCAGATCATCAACTCCCCAAATCAACCTTGGTCAGAGGAGAGGATATGCCTTATGAATTTGTCTTTCACAAAGACGTTTCTAGAAATTGAATAGAAGAAGCATTAAACACACCCTCATTGATCATGTATAATTTCCCTCAGTCAAGCCTCTCCTCAGTCAGTCCTTTTTTCTATATAAAAAAAGGCTTAATTAAATTAATTTCAAGATAAATGTCGAGAGTTGCTGACAGAGCCTGTTGACATTCAAGCCTAATACGTGAACAACATATATTAAGTGACGTGAAACACGTATGATCGTTTACTGCATGAAGATGAAATGGTTGTTGGAAGGGGGAGACCTCTTGTAGTGGAGGGGCAAATAGAAGTTTTGTAACTTTTAAAAGACCCACTAAACGTGACAATAATTCATGAAGTACAAATCTGCAATATTTGAATCTTTCATCGTTTGGTAGGTCTTCATTGTCATGTATTTCGTGAGCAAGGCCTCAAATTTCTTCTACTTCCTCGATCCGAACCTTCCTACTCTGACCCCTCTAATTTATTAATTAATTTGCCAAAGTCTTCCAACAAGGCGGCTTCACGGGCTCAAGAATAAATTAAATACGCACCCATTCCATCCATATGATATATAGTATATATTACCTTGTGTACACTATAATATATTTAATTTGATGCCGCTGGATTTTGTTATTATTTCTTATTTAATAAATAAAGGTTTTAACTTCCTTATCGACTGTTTTGTTCATTTTTGTTTCCTTTTTTTTTTTTTTTGGGTCAAAATTTGTGTTTTCTTGTTTTGGGCCATAGAAGTTTGCATAAGCTTGAATTAATCTTAAATTGATTTCTTGCAAGTTGATTTCTTCCAACTCTGGTTTCAAAACTAATTGTAACCATATATACATGTACTGCATCACCTTTCCCCAGTACAATGAATGATGTTTTTAAAAGTACAAAATTCTTGTGCGCAGTATGAGGTGTCACATGCATCCATACCAAAAAAAAAAAAAAAAATCTCCAACAAAAGAAAGTAATTTATGTAGCGAGACTAGGAATAAAGATTTGAGTAGTCCGCTAAATTTATTTCCCCTTCTTAATCAAGGAGTGTAACATTAATGATTCATCAAGGAGTGTATGATTTGGACAATATTTATTTACATTCAATCCCCCGGGCGTATGTTATTTTATTAGTATCTACCGTGAGTTTTGCAATGAAGGCCAACAAATTTCCGTTTGTGTCAATAGTCCTTTTTAAAACTTTATTCATTGAATTTTTCATATCGAGACTTGTTCCCCTATAATAATCTCGTCTTGTCTTTATGTTGATTATCTTCAAATAAAGTTGAACATACATACGCAGTTTCATCAACTCCGGTATCACAAATTAATTATGATACAAGAGGAGGAAGGAAACAAGCTTGAATTCTTGCATTTATGTAAAAGATTAAGCTGTTGAAAATTACAGAATTATATAATCACGTAATTAACTTTATTTGGGCTTCAAGATCGATGGTTACATAATTGATTAATTATGTTCTCGTGCCCTGCATGATCTTTTGAGACACAAATTTGAGGGGGAAGGAGGACGTTGGACTTGGACTTGGAGAATCGGTTGAAGAGGGAGCGAAGTAAATGGCTAACTTCTGGCCTTTGGAGCAGTGGCCGGCCAAGGAGCTTGTGAAATAAAATGTATCGCTTGCAAGAAATTGAAGTGTCGCTGGTTCTTCGAATTCATATAAGGGGTCCGTGGTGTTACACGTGTCAAAATCTTCCTTGGTTACCACAGCCAAGTCATCTTCTCCGGCAGAAAAGTTAAACACTGCAAAACAAACAACATATCACTAAATAATTAAGCAGCGAAATTTCGAATTTTACTTGTTGGTTTTTTTTTAGGGCAAAGTTTTAACGTAAACATTTCCAGTTTTTGTAACCATTCTTTCTGTCTTTCGATCAAATAAAATAAAGTAGCGAAATTCCAAGAAGAAAATAAAGAAATTGAAAACCTAGAATATCTTTGACTACAAAGCTATGCTTGGCAGCCCAGGCAGCATAAGTGGCAGCGCCGCCCGGAGGAATGGTCCAACCCAAGTCGTCTCCGACGGTATACAATGCAGCTTCTGCTGTAGGCAGCATCATCATTGATGCTGCTACCGCTGCTATAACAAGGAGCATCGCATTATTCACAATAATATTAGTCATGATGTTCTTGAAATATTGTGTAGGAAATGATGTGGTGTGGTGTATCAATTTATAGAGGAGGAGTTTTTGAATTATAGCAATGGCCTGACATCTAGCAATTGCAAGCTGTGCAACGGAATTTTGTACCCATAGGTATTCATGGCGTCGATCTTAACTATGTCGAAAATGTTAAATATAACTTTTAAATGACAATTCCTAGACTTCAAATAAATTACGAATTGTTTTTATTTTATTCTTTTTTGTATTTTAAATTCAAAGGGAAACAGAGCCTTGCCCAACAGAAAAAAAGTTTTAATTATAGTTGTTATCATTTGTGGGACGATGAGAAACACGACAATAGTCGTACAACAATTTGAAGAAAGTAAATAATGTTGGGAGAAGATTGTGATTTGTTGTGAGATATTTATACATCAGAATATATATATATATATATATGCCAATATTTATTTATTTTTTTCAGAATCTTTTGACCTTTTTTCGGGTATGTTCTAAGCCTTGCATTGCTTCACCAGGAAAGCTTCGCATTGCTTCACCAGGAATCTTAAACCCTTTCCTTTCCTTTCTTGATGCTTAAGAATAAACGACAACCGAGGAAAGTGAACCAAAATCCAATTTCATTTATGCCAATTTTAGATTTTCTTACCATTATAATTTAATATTCAGGATTTTGAGCTTTCTTCCCATTTAAGTATCTCTTGAAACCAAAACAAATCACTCAAAGCAGTAATTAGTGCCCAGAAAGCCTTCACATTCTCTATATATATTTCTTACCTATCCAAAATATATTCGTCTTTAATTTCTACAAACCCATTAGTCTGATACCTCTTCTTCTTTTTCTATTCTACTCTACAAAGATCTAAAGCAATTCTGATGGAGCAACATCGTGCATCCGTTCCAGTATGTATTTTTCTTTTATTTCTATTGTATTTGGTGGATACGTAAATATATATATATATATTATTCTTTAGAGTTTTCGATTGAAATAGTCCTTGAATTTGTCCTCGAATTGCATTTTGGTTATCATATTATTCCTGATGATTTCAAATTTATGTGACAATTCCCTGCAGATTTGTACTATAAAAATGAATCTCCATTGTTGTGCAAAGTGTCCAATAAAATTGAAGGAAAAGTTGCAGAAACTTAATGGTAAATATATATGTTTTCCTCCGTTCATGATTTCATCATGCATGTGGCTCATTTATTTAGTTTATAATTTTTTTCTTTATTTTTTATTTTATAGGAGTGGAGGACATAAACATAGATCCAGAACAAGGATTATTAAAAGTTTCAGGTAACATAGACCCTATGGTTCTCACAAATATAGTTAAAAACATGGATAAAAAGGCAGAACTTTGGTCCTTCCAGAAAGAACCCTACAAAAACAATGTCAATATTGGTGCGTCTACTAAGTACAACATCCAAATTGGCGAAGATTGCTCTTGTGATGGTGATGAGGCTGAAAGCAGTTCTGATGATGAAAGCAAACACAGTATTGTACCCAAGAAGCAACATGGGGTACTCACTTGGGCCAAAAATGACAAGAAGAAGAATGGGAAGGGATTTTTTGGGATGGGAATGGGCATGGGCATGCCTATGCCTCCTCAGCATCGGCCGCCTATGCGGCCATCTATGGGCATTCCGGCCCATAGGAGCTTTCATGGGATGCCAAGGCTCGGATATCGGCCACCAAACCCATATTATCAACCAATGACGTATCATAGACCGTCACCACCATCATATGGTTACTACGGACAAATTCAACCGCCACCCTATTCTTATTTTCAATCAAGATCGCCACCGAAAGTTAACCCTATCGTCCACTACACTAATTATGCGGACAACTATCGGTACCCTATGTAGATCAATCATATTGTTGATTGAACATGCCTAGTCCATATTTTTTTAAAATTGTTGCTAGGTTAATTTCTACGTACGTAGGTTTTGCTTTCATATTTGGATAAGTTCTTAATTTCTTTGTTTTGGCTCAAACATGAACTTTCTGACATTGTGTTTTAAACATTTATGATCTCATAATCATTTATTTATATGTTAAAGTCCTGGTGTTTATTATTTTCTCGTTTGTGTGGCTGCTTGCAATTAGTAATTTGATGTTGATCCAATGTTATCTTTGAAATACACCAAAGACCTATCCTTCTTTTCTAAAGCCCCTCTGAGACGGAATTTACTCCTATATATACACATATTTGGATGTTATATATACTTACTCAGTTGTACTTACTTCATGCATAATAAAGAGGTTTATTTATAAATTTTTACCGTCAATTTTCTCCAACATCCTTTTTATGCTATAAAGCAGAGAATCGTCAGCTACATTCACCTTCAAGTCAGATCAGACGAGTAGAATTGATACTAATTGAAAAAAAATTTGATCATCTTATTCAAAAAATTTAAACAGTCGGCTATTTTCAGAGTATAGCCGCACGGCTATACTATTGAAATATTCTATCCACAGAGTATCGCCGTGTGGCCATACTCTTTTAATAAAAACACGGGTCTTTTTAAAAAATGTTTTAAAATAGTATAGCCGCACGGCCATACGTTGAAAAATAATTCTATTTTCCAGAGTATAGCCGCGCGGCGGTACCTATGAAATATTCTATTTCCAGAGTATAGCCGCGCGGCTATAATATTTTATTCATTTGCGACCGTTTTTTATTTTGGGCGGTTCTCAATTTCACTTTTTTGCTCTTCTAAAATTTCAATTATGTTCCTTGATTGGCTTTCTACTCAAAATTTGCAAGCAAAGGTCTCATTTTATCTGATGTTTGACATCTGATGTATTATTTCCAATCACTGTATCAAAACCTGTGCATTTTTCATCTGAGGTTCTTGCAGTCGGTGGAACAGTTGTCTGACATGGTCGAGACCTCAACAGGCAACATACTATTTCATTACTATGTACAGTTGCTTATAAATGAATGAACTATATCTGCAATTTGGAGTACTGATTTAGGGAAAGAGCACCAATA